GTGAGTGTGTGTGAGTGTGTGTGAGTGTGTGTGAGTGTGTGTGAGTGTGTGTGAGTGTGTGTGAGTGTGTGTGAGTGTGTGTGAGTGTGTGTGAGTGTGTGTGAGTGTGTGTGAGTGTGTGTGAGTGTGTGTGAGTGTGTGTGAAGCGATCAACTTTTTTTTAAATATTTTTAATCAAATACCAGAGAGGTATGGAGACCTCTTTGGTGGATTCAGCTGTTAGTATCAGCGAATGTTTGGGAAAACAAAAAAACCAAAAAAACATGAAGCCTTTTCTTCTCATAAGAGTAATTAGCATTTGAGGAGTCTAGTTATCAAAGGCAATTGTAGATCGCGGCCCTATGACCTCGTTACTGCTCGTTTTCATCAGGTAATGTCATTGAATAGGAGGTACCCATCGCTAGTAATGTGGCATAGTGAGCTGCTAATGGTGTGTTTTAGCGCTCTCCTCTTGGTACATTATTGTTTGGACGAGTTGATATTGTTCTCCTACAGATATGATTTGTTATCGGCTGCCTACTCTACTTTTAGGTTTCAGGTTTCCAGGAATCTCAATTCCACTGAATCTATTGATTTCATTTTCATAAGATATTAACTTATTGAAAAAACAAAACTCACAACGATAGCAGCTAACCACAAATGTTAAATGAAAAGTGACAGTGAGCAAACACACCATTTAGCACAGATCTGGAACACCTTATATATTTTATCCTAAATGTTTATTTTGTATAACTGTTTTACTACCCGACTGCAGCGAAGGGGGAGTAGTCAGGGGCGGATCTAGAGGGAGGGTGCATGGGGTGAGTAGCAGCCTCCCCCTGAAATGACCTGAAATGACCTGGTGCTTTCTTTTATAACTAGTATTGCAAAAAAAAAAAAAAAAAAAAAAAAAAGGAAGAAAGATAAAAAAAATAAGCACTACGAGAAAAAATATTGGTTTTGAAGCAAAGCGTAAGTTAAGGTTAAAGAATTTATGTTAAACTCCATAAAAATGACAGGTTAGCACAAATGTTTTAAGCAACAGCTCTTCTCCTCGTCAAAAGAAACATCATTGGGGTCATTCCTTTGTGGTTCACTCACTCCTAAGAAAAATCCTAGATCTGCCCTTGATAATGGTTACTTGGTTATTCAGATTTCTTTTTTTGTTTATTTGCTACGGTTTATTTACATTTTTGCCATTTAACTAACAGTTTTCTGTTAATTTTGATTTTAGATGGACGCATGCAATGGACGTATTTAATGCATTACTTTCGTACAAAAATTTCTACTGTCAAAATGGCCAATGATAGTATGTTACAGCATAAAACGGAACGTATCTGGCTTTGAATTAATTTCTGAGTATATGCTCTTGTGATGCTGTTCTGATTTGAGTTCATGAGAACAACTGGAATAAAAGAAAACCGAAGAAAAAAGTGAACAACTCCCAACTAAGGAAAATCCTGGATCCGCCTTTGATAATGGTTAGTTGGTTAATCAGTTTGTTGATTCGTTTGCTAGTCTTTATTTTCCTGTGTATCCCTATTTATTACATCCATTTTGAAATCATTGGTGGTCTCTGTAATCTGATTGGCTCTAACTGGTGCGATTTATTCATGAATCGCACCATTTTTTGCTTTAAATCGTATCTTTTTTCCAGCCAATGAGGATGTTACACTTAAAACAAACAACTAATCAGATTCCAAGATTTCTGATTTTCAGATTTTAGATTTCTGTATTTGGGCGAGTTCAAAATGTATGTAACACTGCATCAATAAAATATTTGAATTGACCAAGTCCTGTATTTGGGCGACTTCAAAATCGATTTAATAAAGTGGTAATTGAACCTCGCGTCGTGCAAATTTTGGTCTGAAATCATATTTTTGATTTCAAATCGAACTCGCACTGCGCGCTCGTTCGATTTTGAAATCACGCGTATGATTTCAGCCCAAATTGTACTCCACTCAGTTCAGTTGCCATTATTAATTTGACAATTTTCTTTCAGTTTTTTAGGCTGATGGATGAATGGACATATTTGATGTATTACTTTAGCACAAATATTTCAACCCTTAAACAGGGATAACTATTGTATGTTACAGGATAAAAGCG